TGAATCTTTGTTTTCTTGAGGCTATAGCAAAATGGTTTGCGGTCGACCTGAGACTGAACTCCAGCTCTCCCCTCACCCGCCGCTGCTTCAGCAAGGAGATCCCCTCCACACAACACCGAGATGCGCGTGAAGCAGTCCCACGTGTCTGAGCACATGCATTTGTGCCATTTCACACCCCAAACATCAGTCCTGCCAAAGGCACTGTGCCTAATCCCAGGGGAAGAGGAGACACGGGGGTCTTTGTTCCCCAGCATCACGTTGCTGCTGCCCTCCGACAGCCAGCCCCCACGCTCCCTCCTGTACCTGGAGGAGACACACCTCCACGGCGGCCAGGAGGGAGGGAGGAGGGCAAATGGACGCCGTGGCTTCTCCACCAGTTTCTCCGGAGAAGGAGCCATGCTGCTCTGCAGCGCAAACAGCTACGGGGGCTGCCTTGGTGCCAGGACCCCCGTTGCAACCAGGGGCCAAGTGCCACCAGGCTGCAGGGACATTTCTCCCTTCAACCAAGCAAAGCTTTAAGCAGGCTTCATATGCACTTGTAAAGACAGGGCAGTTCTCAAGGTGAGGCAGCTGTAGCACTGCTGGAGGGAGCAGGAAGCGTGCCAGAGGAAGAGGAGGAGTCAGACACCCAACTTACACAACCACAGAGCCACAGTGACCTTACACATCGGCCAGCATCTCTGAAATGAGGCAGTGATGTCTGGAGACCAGGAACTGGGTCTATGCTCTAAACACTCTTCCCACCAGAACTGCAGAAAACCTTCTTGCTTCTGCAGCTAAAACTATCAAGGTGTTCCCAAGCTCTGCTAGCTGAAGAGCAGGTCTCGGACAACTCCTTCTCCTCAGGAAAACCCTGTGACAACCCTGGCTGCCTCTGGGACAACGGCCCAGAGCCAGAGGTGTTGGGCCAGGTGATTCTGCTGCAGGGACTGAGCACCCCAACAGTGCCTGCTACACTACTTGTCCTCCAATACAGGCAAAGGGGATCCACAGCAGAGGTTTTGACAACCTTTCCGATCCTGGAAGTGCCAGTGACAAGGACAGGAGCTCCGTACATCTCATTACTCTTAAGAGAATTTCCAGTCCAACTGTCAAACCCTGCTGTTCAGCAGGACAGCACATGTTTAATTAAAGGCAGGATCAGACTGTATAGCAGGAAAATAATTACAATCCTCCTGGTGATTCACGAGCAAGGAGAGGGCCTGGCTTCCCACCACAGGCTCACAGCAGCACGCAGCAAGAGCTCCATATTTGTCCCCAACCAGGACGAACGCACAGGACTGCCACCTTGGGCAGGAGGGGTCTGTACATGGTGAAATGCAGCTCGGGAAGCTCCTCAGAATGCTCACAGCAAAACGGGATCATCTATTTGAGCCTTGCATTTTCTCCTGGTGGAACATGGGAGTGACATCTGAAGCACTGCCCACAGAGGAAGCAGACTCTGCAGGGTGCTCCACAGGCGCACACGTGTCTGCTGTTCCAGTCTTGGAGACCCACAGGTAGGAAAAGTGTGAACAGAACTGAGATCTCTCCTTTGACATCTCTGATGAAAGCAAGAGCTGATCTTTGATGACTGTGCCAGAAGGGCTGCCTCTGGGGAAAGCCACCTAAATGAGAGGGACTCAAGTGGAGCCGGGAGCAGAAACTGCAAAACAAAACACTTGGGAGCTGATCAGCTCTAAGGTTAAACTCAGTCTTTCCAAGTCACTGTGCTCAAAGCCAACACCCCACAGGTGAGGCCACAGAACCAGCAAGACATCTGTCCCACAGCCGGGCAGGACCAGCCCTGCGGGCTGCACAGCTCCCACGGCAGAGCAGCAGTCAGTCCCCTTCCAGCACAGCCCAGTACCCCAGTTAGTACCAGGTGGCATCACCAGAGCAGGGATCTCAAGAGTTTGAGAGAAATGACTCAAGTGATACACATTCCCAGAACAGCTAGATTCAAGAAGAACCACTCCCCCTGACATTTAGTGAGGGTAACGGAGTTAACGGTAGCAGAGGTCAAACAAGTGATTGCCACCGCTGAGAGATGAGAACATCAGTTTGGTGCTCGAGCGGCGAGGCCGCACCTCGGCCCCTGCGGGGAAGCCCTGGTGCCATGGTGGGGGAACCACTGCCACTATCCAGGCAGACCCTCGCACCCAGGCATTCCTTGGAGTTCCTTGTGCCAGCTACCCGGAGACTCAGTTTGTCCCACCTGAGGCAGGCGTGGGACAAGACACAGGCAGTGGACACAGACCCACTTGCCAGCACAACAAAGGGAGGGATATTGGACAATCAAGGACATGGACCTGCTGGTGTGGGGCCAGAGGAGGCCACGAAAATGGTCCAAGGGCTGGAGCAGCTCCTGTGTGAGGACAGGCTGAGAGAGTTGGGGGTGTACAGC